GGGGCGCAGGACTGCGAGCTAGCGTGTCCCGCCCAGCTCCGGAGCCCACGTCCTGCAGGGCGCTCCGCCTGCCTGTCCCTGTCTGAAGGTGCGCACGGTGAAACAGGGACTCATTCCTAACGGGACAACTGGAAAAAAGTGACGCTCGGTGATACTGCTCCAGTAACACTCAGAAAACTGCAGCAAAGTGGGGGTGGAACCGCGGTTGGGGTGGCTTCTGGGAGGGCACAGATTAGCTGCCTTCCACACTTTCCCTTATCCTGGAGGGCACTCTCCCACAGTTGTGAGGAATCCCTGGGAAACTCCACCTGCCCCAAGGGTAAAATTTACAAGGTCTTGGGGCCGGGGATTTAGCTCAGCGGTTCGGTGGCCTGCCTTGTAAGCGCAAGGACCGAGTTCAATCCCCGGTACCAAAAAAAAAAAAAAAAAAATTACAAGGTCTTGGGCTCTTAACAACTCTGGGTCCCTGCCCTTCGCTCATTTCCAGAATGAAGGACAAGCACTCTTCCCTAGAACTCTTGGGCTCCCCAAATGCTCTCTGCCCTGACTACTTCCACTTACTTGTTTTGGGGTCTTGGCCCGCTGTCACCTCCTCCAGGGCGCCTTCCCCAATTCTCCTCCCAGAGCAGTCTGTCCTGTGTTGGGCCTGGGGCAGCAGGTGGAGGTGGTGGACCTTGCCTGTCCTGTTTCTCAGCCACTTGGCTGGCCCAAACAGTAGGTGGTTACTTAATTGGTATTTGTGGAACAAATCAAGAAATGCAAAGTTCCATTTATTACATTTCTATCCAGATGTTTATTTTTTGTTATTTTTTTCCATTGCACAATTCCATATCTAGTTTCACTTTTATTTCTTTATTTTTTACAAAGGTACAGGGAATTTCAGAAACATTAAAACAATCATTCAAACTGTTTCAGGCACGGTTTCACATGGAAAGCATTGCTCCATTCCCAACTTACGGTTTCCGTCTATGATAGTCTCAGCTCTTGTCTTAGGAAGTGCAATCACTGTAGAGCAGTGGTGGACACTAGCCGAAGCTCATCTCCAGCCGGGAGTTCCTGAGTCAACAGAAAGGGGGCTCCCGGAGTAAGGGGTACAGTACGGAGATGAGCTGCAGGCACTGCCTATTGGGTAGGCACAGTCCACTCCATCAGCTCAAGAACATAAACAAAAATGTAATTTTAAAAAAAGGTAGTTTAAAAAATATCTGATAAAAATTACCTATCCCTCTCCCTTGCTGTGAAATAATTTAAATAATTTACTCTAGGTGTTAAAAACAAAAAAGACAGAAAACAAGTTTGTTCGAAGCAGTCTGTGTCCTGTTTCCAAGTGTGAGGTCTGAGTTCCCCACGGTGGCAGCCTTTGAAGGGATGCTGGAAGCTCTCCGACTCAAACAACCCTCCCACCCTGTGCCCCAGCTGGGCAGCCAGTGGCTTGGCCTTGAGGTTTCTTCACTTCTCTGAGGCTAGGTCTTCCCTTCTGCCCACTGGACTATAACATCCACCTGACCGCGTTGGAGCAGCATGTGCCAGTGAATGAAGGTGGGAGAGCTTTGTAAACTGTGAAGTGCTGGGCGCAGAGGAAGCAGGAGAGGTAACCCCTGCCAGGGGAGCCATGCATGCTTCCTTGACAATGCCTGGGACCTGGCCTTTTGCTCCTAAGCAAAGTAAGGCAAGCTTGGCTGGTACTTTGGGGGAAATGGAGAATTAGACAAAGAAAATGGGCCTTTGGTGTTTGCAGACCGGCAAGGGCCATCAGCCATGGCTGGGGGAGTGGGGAGCACAGTTTGGGAACCATATGAGTCCCCGTTTCTGCCTGGTATTCACTGCTCTCTTTAGTAAAGATTGAAGCTCAGGGACTGGTCCAGGGCTCTCTGTTCCCAGAACTACTTGGACAGCTTATGAAGTCAGAGGCCCAGGTCCTAGAGACTCAGCCTCTTTGTATGAGAATGGGACCTGGTGTCTCTGTCTCCTGAGTGCTCTCAAGGAGATTCTACTACAGCATGGATTGAAACCTCCTAGGCTGTGTCTTCTGCAGTCCCATCTGAGCTCCAGAGTTGGCCCATGGGATGGGGAAAACTTACTGTCTACTCCTTCTGGGTAAGGAGATTTCGCTTGCTTCTTAACATTCTTAGTCTCTGGCTGGGCTGCCAAACTGACCATGAGAAATAAAGAGCTTTAGAGTAGGGCTCAGGACAGAGATTCAGAAGGGGGGCATACAGCCAGGCATGGTGACACACACCTGTAATCCCAGCTTCTCAGGTGGCTGAGGCAGGAGGATCACAAGTCCAAGCCCAGCTTGAGAAGCTTAGTGACTTAGACCCTGTCTCAAAGTCAAAAATTTAAAAAGGGCTGGAGATGTAGCTCAGTGCAAAGCCTTGGGTACAATACCCAGTACCAGAAAAAACAAAAGAAGACAAAAGCAAGAAAGGAAGGACACAGAAAAATTTCCAGGCCAGAAGGAACTTCAGGGCTATCTGGTGCTCCTTCTTCACCTAGTGTGTTCACCCCTCTCCAGAAATCCAGAAATCCTCACTGGCAGGTGGCCACAGGGCTCTGCCAGGATCCAGCCCTAAGGCTTCAGACCTCCTGGAGCCTCTTTCGTTAACCTGGGCTGAAACCTGCCCACATCTTCTGGGAGCAGGCAGGCTGTGTAGACAGTACTCCACAGACTCGGCTGTAAGGTTTGTGCCTCCACATAGGGCCAGTGTCTGCCCACATCTGGTTGATTTTTGCTGAGAAGGATGGTTCTGACCTGTCTGCTATAGAATTGGGATGAACCTTAACTCATTCCTTCAGGCTTCCCACCCACCCAGCCTCTTTGCCAGTGTGTGTTTCTAAGGTCATTACCCCACCTGTGGGATCAAGGTCAAGGTCAAGGTCTGGTGGGGGAGCAGGCTTGTCGGGGGGGCAGGGGGGAGCTCCTTCCAGGGTCCCTCCTGTTCAGATGAAGAACCTGAGACCCGAGAGAAGGATTTTCGTAAATGGTCACCAAGTAAATCATGGCATAGCCAAGACCAGAACCAGGACATTCCTGCTCAGGGGGCCAACACTGCATCAAGCCAGAAACAGCAGAAAGCCATACCAAGAGACCAGGATCTCAGTCCAGCTGTGCCATGACACAAACCTCACTTGTCTTTCTCTGGGCCTTGGTTTCCCCATATGAGGGAGGTAGGCCAGATTTCAAGCTTCTAAAAATTTGTGTAAGCGGCAGAATTCTGTATTCCGTAGCAGGCCACACATGAAACAGACAGAGGTGTCATCTGTTGGAATGGGCTCCTGCCTAAGTCTTCCTCCCATTCTGTAGGGTGCAGCTTGAACATCACAGGCAGCAGACCTCCCAGATCCTTCCAGCTTGAACTTTCTACAGTGTTCTTTTCTCTTGGGAAGTTAGAGCTCTCTGTGGACCCTTAGAGACGGAATTCAACAGAAGGCAAAGTATCATCTAAAAACAGAGTCAGTGCAGAAACTGCTGTCGAAAGAAGGCAAATATAAAACGGCACCGTGTCCCACTGGAATCTCCTTCAGCGACTGAAAGTTTCGTTTTCTGGTAAAAATATAGAAATAGTAGTTGTTTTGGGGGGACTTGAGGCTCGGTTCTGGACCTCCCCACAAAGCCAGTAGTGTCCCTGAGGGCGGGGATGGTAGAGGCCTCGCTCAGAACTTCCCAGAGTCCATCCTCAAGTTTTTGATCTCCAGTTCCAACTGCTTGGCCTCGACCTCTCGCTGGGTCAGCAGCTCCCGGAGCCTTCGGATCTCCTCCTGTTGCCGATAGAACATCTGCAGCAGCTGGGAAGGCAGAAGTCAGAGGGAAAGGTCATTTGGGTGGCCTGGGGTGCAGGGGCAGGGCACCAACAGAAAGGCTAAAAAACAACCTCTTTTTGTGTGTTTGTTTGTTTGTTTTGGTACAGGGGATTGAGCTCAGGACCTTGCGCTTTTGGGGAAAGTAGTAGCACCACTGAGCTATATCCCCAGCCCCAAAACTACCTCTTTTTTGCTCACAAAGGCAGAGGCGATTAAATTAATAAGGAGGCAATCCATGCACAGACCTTTTTACAAAAATTTCTACTTCACCCAGTAAGGGAAATTCAAAAAGATATAAAAGTTTCAGACATATTTTGCCTCTTGGCTTCTGAGGGATGAGAAGGAAAGGATATTTGGCCCTGAAGCCTGGAAACTGGTGTTTTCACCACCACTGAACAATACGGCCATGGATAGTGAGTCCCTTGCCCTCTCAGACTTTTAATTTCTTTCTCTAGGATAGTGATAGTGAACCTTTTGGAGCTTTCAATGGTAACAAACAGCCAGTTGCAGCATGAGTGCCATAGGTTTGCCACCATTGCTTTAGGAATTGGGGGTCAGAAAACCCCATTGCCATCATAATTGTTGCTGCTCTAGAGAACAGCTATTAGAAGCTGGGTGACCCCCAAGGGCTTTCAGTATCCTCTAGATGCTTGTGACACCCCCGTGAGGGTGGCAGTGCTGCACCGACATGGGACCCCTGGGTCTGAGGCCTCCCAGTGAGTACTCAGTAGAGCTGTGAGAGTCCCTCAGCCAGACATGTGCCCTTCCGTTTTTAGCTCTTCCGCACTGACTTCTGGGCTGTGGCCAGTGGGAATCCATCGCATGCTATATCAAAAATGTCTAGCTGGGTGTGGTGGTGCACACCTGTAATCCCAGCGCTCAGGAGGCTGAGGAAGGAGGATCTCAGTGAGTATGAGGCCAGCCTGGGCTACACAGTTCAGAGCCAGCCTGAACTATAAAGCAAGAACCTGTCAAAAAAAAAAAAAAAGTCTACCCCAGGGCCTGGCATACAGTATACTAAGGCACTTAACAGAAGTTTACTCTGAAAGCCCAGGAAATCCCAGAACATCAGCACCGGAAGGGACTTTAATGTTCACCAGGTTAAACCCTCTGCATTTTCCAGGTGGTTCCCTTCCATCTGTGTGTATATTCACCACTGTGGCATAGAGACTGCGCTCAATGCCCCTCTGTTGACTAAATTAACAAAACAAACTAGGCACTAAACCAGGCCACACAGCAGGCTGTACTTCTCAGCCAGCATCTTCCTCTTTCCTTCTGGGCCCTTGCCCTGAGGGGCAGGCAGTGCTCATTCCCGCCCCCACCCACCCCGAGCAGCCTGTCCCCTCCCTTACCTCATTCTCTGTCTTTGGTGGGGGACATTCGAAAACATCAAAGCCGTTAGTGAGCCAGGACTTCTTCTCCTCCAGCCTGTGCTCCACCGCCCACCTTGGCATCTTCTCCTCCAGAAGGGAGCAGGACCTCCGGCTGCCCTCTGAAGCCAGCTTTGCCGTAGGGTCCAAGGACAGTGGTGAAGCTGGGGCTACAGCACTGGAGAGGGGTCTCTCAGGAGGCAGAGGCCGGGGGCTCAGCAGCTGGGAGCCGGGCCGGAGGGACACCAGGATTGGCTCTGGAGGGAAGCAAAGGGCTGTGAGGACTGATTGGCACGAGCAGAGACACTGGAAGGCTGGCACGCAGGGACAGGCAACACGTGTGGGAGATGCAGCTGCCTGTAGTCAGGCAGAAACCAGGGGCAGGGGCAGTCAGGTACGAGCACCACATGTGCAGCCATCTAAGCAAAGCCTGGTGGTGGGAACTGCATGTTGTCTGCACTGTAGCTGGCCCAGACACTGTGTGTTCCTCAAGTGTAGCCTTGTCCTTGCCTTGTGAGGACAGTCCCACCCACACTGTATTCTGCCATCTCCCAAGGCCATGAGTTCTCCCAACAAGCCCAGCAAGCAGGGGAGGCAAGAAGAGGAGGAATCAAGAGGCCCAGGGAACTGGCAGTAGTCCTTTTAGTGCAGCAGGAGGTCCCTCAGCCCCTGCTGAAGGAAATGACAGCTTCCTTCAAATGGAGGGAAAGAGAGCTTCTGGGTCAGGGGTCAAGGGACCATATGTTGCTCTCTTTCCACTGGGCTGGCCTTGGCTACAGATAGGTCAGCCTGAAGGGGCCAAAGAGCCTGGGTGGCAGTTGCCACTGAGAAGTTCTCTTGGGCCAAAGAATAATTGCAGAAGTAGTGGGGGGAAGGGGAGATGGGCAGGGAGTGTGGCTGAGACTGTCCAGTTCCCCTGAAGAGTTTCTGAATGAGATGTTTTGTGGGGCAACCTCTCTTGAGCTGGAGGAGCTTTCTGAACCACCAAGGTCAAGCCCTGCCTTCCTAGTCCTGTATGTTACCGTCTAGTCACTGAAGTCCGACTTATCAAGGACCTGTCTTTTGAAGATAGAGGAAAATGAAAATACAGGCCGCCCCCGCAGCAGTACTTGGGGCCGCTGCGTCTTCATATTTCATCACAGTTGCCGTTCTCGGCCTTCCTCACCTCTGTTCATCCCACTGAGCCACTCCTGAGCCGTCAGGGAGGGCTGGGCCCCTGCTGTTGGCGGGTAGATGTCTTCTTGGTAGGATTCCGACTGCAGGAGAGTGTGGACAGTGAGGGGACAGTGGCAGGGTAGGCTGCGCAGGCAGGGAGGGAGCTGAGAGCCCAGGCTTTCCTCAACCCTGCTGAATTGAGGAAACCCAGGCCCAGAGAGCAAAGGGACTTGCCCAAAGTCACACACAGCTCAAAAGTGGAGGTAAGCAAGGCCCAGGATGCCTGGCCCCACGATGATGACCACGAAAAGGGTTTTCCCCTGAAAGAGTGACCCTCAGCCTCCCTGTGGCTGGGTGCGGTGGGATCCTGACATCTCTCCGGCCCAGAGGGCCCCACTACCCTTACCCGCCGGGGCACAATCATGGATATGGGCTCGATGAGGCTTTTGGTTGTGATCAGCTTGTAGAAGCGGAATATCTCGCAGGAGGACACATCGAGACCTCTCTTTGGCATGACACCTGCGGACAGAAGGCCAAGGGGGGTCAAGAAGTTCTGGTTGTGCCGGGCCCACAAAGACCTGGCGGGTGGGTCTAAGCCAGGCTGTTCCCCAGGAGACTGCCTACCATCTTTCCTCTGCAAACAGCTTATAACCAAATACCTAGGCAGGGCCAGGCCCCGTGCTTTGGGAATGGACTTCATCATTGGGACTCTGTTTCTACCTTTACGCATTTCAGTCGTTTAAACTAGATTCTTACAGGCAGTTTGCTTTGCCTCCATCCTCACAGCCCTGGGACCCAAATGCTCATAATAGGGATATTTCAGCTTTCTGTCTTCTAATTTTTTTTTTTTTTTTAAACTGGGGATGGAACCCAGGGCCTTACACTTGCTAGGCAAGCACTCTGCCACTAAGCTACAACCACAAGGTGTATCTTCCTTGAGCCTTCCTTTTACTTTTCACCTCCCTATATCTATAAAGTGGTCTCTCTCTCTCTCTCTCTCTCTCTCTCTCTCTCTCTCTCTCTCTCTCTCTCTTTCTCTGTCTTTACGAATTATATTATTTAACTGGATTTTTTATTTTAAATTTTTCAATACTTGTACTGGGGATTGAACCCAGGGCTTACACATGCTAGGGAAGCAACCTACCCCTGAGCTATATACCCTCAGCCCTCCTTGGATCTTCTTATTTTTATTTATTTACTTATTTATTTTTATAGCACAAGGCACTGACTCCAGGGGCGTTCTACCACTGAGCTACATCCTCAGCTCATTTTTATTCTGAGACAGAATCTCACTAAATTGCCCAGACTAGCCTCAAACTTGTGATCCTCCTGCCTCAGCCTCTCGAGGAATTGGGGTTAGAGGTGTGCACCGCTGTGCCTGGTGGTGGGATGATTTTAAATCTGCAAATACACTTAGAAAAGAGGGAAGCATCGCTTCCCAAGTTTCTTTTAGGTCAATAGTTCTCATCTCCTTGCTACGCCCTAACTGTCTGACCTCACTAGAATACTTCCCCTCTCCTGGGCAGTGCTCCTGGCTTCCTCTTTCAATTCCTCAGATGATGCTTCCTCGGGGCAGCCCTCCCTGGCTCTGGCTCAGGCTCACATAGTTCTGCTGCTGTACACTTCAAATCAGACTTGCTGTGGTTTGAGGATATCCACAAGGCTTCAGGGGACATCGTGAGGTATTAAGAGGGAGGAACTCACTCTAACTACGGGGCTTAGAGATGGGGCCTTTGGAGATCAGGATTAGATAAGGTCATCAGGGTGGAGCCCTATGAATGAATCCAGTGGTTTTGTAAGAAGAGATGAGAAGAGACACCCATGTGCTCCCTGTCTCATTTTGTGAGGCCCTGTGCTGCCTTGGGGCTTGCTAGCAGGAAGGCCATCACCAAATGTGGCCCGTGGACCTTGCATCTGCAGAACCATGAGCCGAAACAGCTCACTCGTTCTAATTTATCCCGTCAGTGGTCCTGTGTTAGCAACAGAAAATGGATTCCGACAGCCCACAAAGGCCTACTCCCAAGTACCCCAGGAACGCCACTCACCGATTCCCTTCTGTGGGTTGTAGGAGCGGAATTCTGTCAGGTAGCTCAGGTGAGGCTTGTCGGAGCTCACTTCATAGTAGCGGATGTTCCCATCCCCCTAAGAGAGGAGGTGAGACTCAGAGCTGAGCCACTGACAGTGCCTGGACTCCAGGTCAAGCAGCCACGTTTGGCTTTCAGAGGGAGCAGCTAGGAAACCCACATCTCATCTGGGGACTCCAGAGAGCTCAGGGACAAGGCATGGACAAGAAGGTCCTCATTTTAATGTTGTTACCCCAACTCTGATGTAAAACCCACCCTCAGTCCTCTAAGATAGAGGCCCAAACCCTATTTCCATCCAAGAGCCACACAGGTCAGAATCTTAGCCCTGAGGAACATTTCTGGTTGTCATGGCTAGAAGATGGGTAGGGTATGTTCCTAGCATTAGTGGGCAGAGGCCAGAGATGTCAAATATGGGAAAGCCATACCAAGTGAAGACCAGCTCTGCCCAGGTTCAGAGTGGCCCTGTTGGGAAAGGCAATCTGGTCCCAGAGCTGGAAGGACAGGCATGTGGCGAACAGCCAAAGCCCTGGCCCGAGTCTTTCTGGGGAGCTGGGAGGGTGAGGAGGGGTGCTCCCCTGTGGGGAAGAGTGGCCAGACACTATTATCTGTGTCCCCGCCTGACTCCCCACCTGCACCCTAAGGCCCCCAGGCTGCTAGGCTCAGCTTGGGATATTTCTGTTCCTGCCTCAGCCCAGGTAGCCACCTCCCTCCTGAGCCACCAGGCTGACCTTTCCAACCACATAGAGCATGTTGGTGTCCGAGTCGTAGAAGGGAAACAACACGCCTGAGGAGCCGTCCAGGTCCTCCTCTGTGAGGGGCACGGAGAGATCATCCTGCAGGGAAGGGAGAGCAGGACAGCTGCTCAGTCAGTCCTGAGGTCAGGACTGCTGCCATGTAGCTTGGGGTGTGTACATGGCAGAGAGAGTGCCTGATCTCATGCATAGATGCTTTGGGGAAAAGGTCCCTGGTTCTGGAGCTAGTGTCGCACGAAAAGACATTTCAAAGGCACTAAAACTGCTACCATCTATTTTGTCAGTATTTTGACCATAAGTCACTTTTGACACACCTAATCTGATTCTGCTCCTCCCTCACCTCTATTTTTTTCCCCATTATTTTGCTTTCTTTGATTTTGGAAGATAGCATCTCACTATGTAGCCCAGACTGGCCTGAAACTTGCCATCCTCCTGACTCAGCCTCCCAAGTGCTGGGATTACAGGCACATGCCACCCTGTCTGGCATCTATCTGTTTTACTAGATGCAGATGACTCTGTGCAGGGAAGTGATCCTGCAGTGTCTGAAATGCCTGGCTAGTGCTCCTTCAAACCAGCCTTGCTTGTCCTGCCTGCCCCTCCCTCCTCAGTGGATGCCCACTCGCGCGGCTCCCAGGCTGTGCTCTAGCTGCTCCTGAGGCCACCCTCGTCTGTCACCAGGGCTTCTCCTGGGGCCTCCCCATCTCCCTCCTCCAGAGACAGGATGCACCTGGCCCTGGGCTTGACAAAGGGGCTGCTGGCACCTTCCTGTTCTGTGCCCAGGTCCTTAGCCCCAGCAGACTGTGAGATGCACTGTGAGAACTGAGCGAGTGGTCATATGAAGGAATGACAGAAGCTGTGCCAGGCTGCGGGGTGAGGGCAGGGGCAGGGGGTCCCCGTAGACCCACCTGGTCCCACAGGGCCATCTGGCGGTTGTTCCAGCGCGACGTGCCTGTGGACAGCAGCTTCCTCAGGTTCCCTAGGAACAGCACCTTACTTGCCCGGTGCCCCTTGTAGCTGGCTTCCTGGGGGGACATGTGCGGTTAGCACTGGACAGATGCCAGGAGGGGACCTGGGCTGCAGCTTGGAGCCTGGCTGCTGGACAGCCCATCTGGGGCAGCACCTCTAGGAAGCCCGCCTGACTCCCATATCATGGAGCTCTGGGGCTCTTTGCTGAGAGTCCTATCTCTAAGCTAGGATACAGGTGCAACTCTGCCCAGTTCCACGCTCCTGCTTCGAGCGTTGCTCTACAGTGGCACAGGGCTGGGTGTGTGCTGTCACTTCGGTGTCTTGTTTAGTCCTCAGACAGGAAAGACCAATGGCCACTGCTGCTGATGAGCAGACGGAGGCTCAGAGAACAGATAGTTCTTGGTCCAAGGTCACACAGTATGCAAACAGTGCTGCCTCTGTCTCCTGACTCCCTGGGCCAGTGACAACGCACAGACCAGCTTTGGAGCTGAATATGCTTCAAACCCCAGCTTTCAATGTGAGGAAGTCCCTTCCTTTCTCTGGCCTGTCTTCCCATCTGAGAAACGGACCTGGCACATCTTACTTCCCAGTGGTGTCGAGAGGGCAGCTGAGGATGTCACCTACCAGAGCTTGACCCAGAAGCCACCAGCACACTTCCGGCTCTCGGAGCTGCCCCAGTCCTACTTGGCCCCCTGCTTCTCAGCCTCCTCGACAGACCCTGGCCCAGCACTGACCTGCAGGACTGTCCCAAGCCGGGGATCGAGAACCCGAATCTTCCGGTCTTTGCAGGCGGTGGCCAGCAGGCTGCCGTTGGTGTTGAAAGACATGGACAAGATCACGTCTTGGTGACAGGTGATGGTTCTCACGGGGCTCACGATGACAGACTCCTTTGTATCCAGGTTCCAGATCATCACCTGTGGACAGAGTGCTGGCTCTGAGCGTGACAGTGGCCACCCCACCCCAGTCCTACAGTGACACGTGGGCAGGCTGCAGTGAAACACAGTATCCCCAGGAGGGAAATGCAGGACAGATATGCTGCTGAACCCGCATGGGAGGGGAGTGTGTGGGGGGCTATCTCTTAGAGGTAAAACACCATCTGCCTTTGCGCAACAAAACATCTATGCTGGGAAGACCCCAGGGAACCAGCAAATGGAGGGGAGGAGATGTTTTCAAACAGCAGCAGCATTTTCTACTTTACATGGATAACCAGGGTGGCCATGTTTAGTTGCACAGGCTGGGCACTGCACAGCTCCTTGCAATTTAAGCCTATAGTTTAAGAAATGAATAGCGCCCCCTGGAGCTGTGTACAGAATAACCTGCACAACTGTGCACATTAGCCCTGCACACACAGCCTACTCAGATGAGAGTGCTTCTGATCAGAAGGCAGTGGAAAGCCTAGAGCCCTCTAACAGCTCCCACTCCACCTTTTAATCCATCACAGAGCTCCCAAAGTGCCTCTGTAAAGCCCAATAGAGAAAGAAAGGAAAAGCTGAAAAACCATTGCTGTGGTCCCACCACATCTGCCTATAGACCGGGAAATAGGCCCAGAGGAGGCACGGGGACGTTCCCAGGTCACACTGCCAGTCAGAGACTGAGGTGGAAGAGCATCCAGGCCCCAACCCTCAGGGTGCACAGCCTGCTGCCAGGCAGTGAGCAGAGCAGAGAAGTTGAAGGGCCCAGCCTCCTACAGGCAGACTGTGATGGGGTGAATCATGCTCTCCAAAACACAGGTCCACCCAGAACCTCAGATGTGACTTTGTCTGGAAATAGGGTCTCTGCAGGTGTGGTAAATGTGGGTGTCCTTATAAGAAGAACAGCACACACACAGGGACATGGCCAAATGAAGACAGGCAGAGCCTGGAGTGACAGGGCTGCCAGCCATGGTGGCTCTCCCCGGGGCTTCTGCATGGCTGCCTAGCAGCTTGACTTCAGATCTCTTGTCTCTGGCACAGGGGAGAGGATACTTCTGTTGTTGAAAGCTACCCACATATGGTGACTTTGCCGGGGAAGCCTCAGACCCACCTTGTAGTCATAGCCAGAGCTGAACAGGATGTTGGCGGCCGTGGGGTGCCACTCCACCAGGCCCACCCTGCGCGCGTGGCCCACCAGCTCCTTCCTGTAGGCTGTGAGGTTCCTTGCCAGCAGCTGCTTGGGGATGTCCCAGATTTTGATCTGCAGGAGACATATGTCCCAGGGGTGGTGGTTACCAGGAGGTTATCTAGTTTTACCTACTCTCTCCACAGTCAAAAGCAGTGATTCTGTTAGTGATAGTGAGTCATTCTACACAATAATTCTCCTCTCTTTGTCTCCCTCACACTAGCCACAAAAGTTTCAAAGGTAAGCATAGGTGAATTTGTTTATTTTTCTTTATATTTTGTATTTTCTTTATTATTTTGTACCCTACTACACTGTTATCAACATTTTGTATGAATATTTTGGGGTGTGGAATGAATCACCGGGGTTTCTATTATTTCTATTGGGGAAATCTGCTTTGTTTTGGACTACAAGCATGTTTCTGGAGCAAATTATGCTTACAAACCAAGGTTTTCATGTACACAGGTTTTTCATGCAGTCAACTGTGCTTCTGGTTCTAGGACATGAACTCTGCCTGGAGTAGTGCAGGTTTCAGACAGAGTGGCTGGCAAGAGTCATCCCTGCATAGAGCTGGCCTGGGCAGGACAGGTTTGCTTGGAGATATAAGCACACCCCAAGGAGAAAGAACAGCCCCCTGCAATCCCCAGGGCTAAAGCTCATCCCTGTCCCAGGTCCCAGATGAATTTATAAAAGGAATCTGCTGCCATTTCAATCTCAATCATCATATTCAAGTCCCCCGCTCCTGAGCATCTGGGACGGGAAGTGGCAGGCCAAAGGTCTTTATAACAAAGATCTTTCAAGAGCCTCAAAGCAGGCCCAAAAGGTGAGTACTATAGGAAGGAGGCTGGTGCCAGATGTGTGATATCCTGCCAGAAGCCTACACGCATTGGGACAGAACCTGTTTCCATAAGGCCTGCTTTGATTGCCCCTTTGGTGAAATTCTCCTTGATGTTTCTCAGCATTTTTCTACATGGACACTGACACAGGTCCTCTTAGAATTTCTGGCTTCCTGAGCTGCACCTCTGTAATCCTAGCATTCAGGAGACTGAGGGAGGAGGATCATGTGTTCAAGGCCAGCCTGGGATGCACAGGAAGGCCTGTCTCAACAAACAAAACAAAACTTTCTGCTTCCTTTCCTGATAAGTGGGCCAGGGATTTGGCTCAGTGATTCTGCTGCCTACCTCTCAAGCGCAAGGGCCCAAGTTTGATCCCTGGTACCAAAAAAACCCCAAAACCAAAAAACCTTTCCTGATAAACAGTGAGGGCTCAGCAGTAACATTCTAATTCCATTTTTTGCCTTAGCTACCAGGCAACTCTGAGCTAAACTAGGAACTCAGCTGCTGCCACCCAGCACAGCTGATGTTTCTAAGATTTCCTCATCTTCGCCATCCGTGGCTCTGGTTGTTGCTCTTGAGGGAAGTGGCAGAGCTCAGGAGAGAAGGAATGGGCTCTGGAGTAAGGTGGGCCCTAGTCTGAAGCTAGTGCTACCTTCTACAAACTGTGTAGCTTGGGCAAGTTCCTGCACCTCTTTGATCTGTGGCTTCTCCATCAGAAAAATATCCTACCATGTGTAGTTGCTGGGAAGACTGAAAAGATAAGTGCAGTTAGAGTCAGGAACACAATGGGGCCATGGGAATGATCCCCACAACCTTCATCCTTATTTTAACTAGCTGGTCACCTCTTTGCGTTTGGTTTTAAGCCACAGCCACTATATTTTAGAAGTAGAATGAATGAGTTATACAAAATGAATTACAAATAAGTAATACTGAACATTGTGGGACAGGGACTGTGTCCCTGGTACAACATAGGAGCTCAAAAAAGTCGATAAAAGGTGTTCTGAAGTGCACCTGTAGATCCAGTTAGTTTGGAGGCTGAGGCAGGAGGACTGCTTGACACCAGCCTGGGCAACATAGCAAAACTCTATCCTAAAAAAAGTTGGTTACACTGACCTTCTGGGATAGTTTTGCGGTCCATAATCACATAAGGCTCCCATTTCCATCCTTGCATGGCTCACTTTCCCACTGTCTGTGGGATTTAGTAGATTCTGACCACAATAAAGATGCCCCTCACAGCATTTCAATTTCCTCAGAGGTTGGGCTCTCCCACTCAAACACAAAACATCTCATTGGATCTTCATGAGATGGCTGGAGCTATGGCACCCATTTTATAGATGGGAAAAACTGAGGCCCAGAAAGAGACGGGGTTGCCCCCCAAGACCCAAGCACCCCAAACTTCTCTACAATCTCTCTTCTGCTCCTTACACAGTATCCTCACTTCAGTGATGAAGCAGTTGGGGCCACCCCATGGAGAAGACAGACACTGGCCCACCTCCCGCACCCCACCTCACACCCTCTAGGCCACAGTAGTGCACCCCAGCTGATACTCACTGTGGCATCTTCAGAGCAGGAGGCAATCTCGAAGTCATTAAAAGGGTTCCACTTGATGTCCAGGATGTTCCCTCTGTGCCCACAGACCTTGGGGTAGTGGGGGTCCAACTTTCCCGTCTGTAAAACAGTGCCCAGAGAGTTGGCGAGAAGACTAATGTGACTTTAGCATCTGGATGGCCACTCAGTCAGTCAGCAGTCACTGAGGAACCAGGAAACCCTAAGGGACAGAACCGGGGGTGAATCTAGGCCTCACCATTCCCCATGTGATCCTGGAGCGGAGGTGGAGGAATCCTTCCCTCCTCTGAGGCTTGATGTTCTCCTTGAGAAAGTGGAGGAAATAAGAGGTCTTTCACAGGAGCTGAGAGGGGGGAGGTCTACAGAGCGCCGGCCCATGGGAGGTGGGTGATGTAATGAAGTGTGGGAATGTACCGAGGTGCAGCCCTTGGACAACAGCCCTTCCGTTCCTCGGAAGATTAAACAGAGCTACTATAGGACCAGCAATTCCACCCTAGGTGTGCACCCAAGAAAGAGGAAGACAGAGGTCTCCAGAAACATTGTTCACCGATGTCCACAGCGGCAGTATTTACAATAGGTCAATGATGAAAACAGCCCGAGTGTCTAGCAAGTGGTGAGGGGATATATAACACGCAGTGCATTCATGCTGCGGGATGATCTCCAGCCAGGAAAAGGGTTAAAGTACTGGTGATGCGCTGCAAATGAATGACCTCTAAAGCACTAGGCTAAGCGAAAGAAACAGGCATAAAAGGCCACATAACGCATGAAGTGTAGTAATGACACAGTAACAATGAAGAGGTAAGGTTAAAAAAAATGTTAGCACGAGGGAACTTTAACATCATATATCAATATACTAGGTGCATAGAATAGAGGAATACAGTTATTGGTAAAGCACAGACTAGGATCTAAATAACTAGCTCTTGTGATATTGTTGTCCTTTTCCGATTTCTATTTTATTTTAACATAGAAGGTACTGCAAACATGTACTAATAAAGAAGGTACAGCTCTGGAAACACAAAGTAAAGTAGCTAGTGCTCTGACAATACACAACTTGCTCCATGGTACAAATAAATGCAGGCAAGGCATTAAAGGCATGTGACCATTCACGTTGTTTTGTGCAATGAAAGTCTGTTGAATGAATATGATCAATGAATAAATCCTAGCTATAAGTTGGTTATAACCTTCATAACACAAACGTCCAATATCTCCTAGGGCAACCTTTCAGCAGAAGTTATTCTACTTGCTTAAGTCTTTCCCTAACATTTAATGAGTCAAATGACTATACCTAACCAGGTTGGCACTGGATCTGCTTCTGTGAAAGAAAATCTGAAATATGTGAAGGGAGTGGCATAGCATTAAATCTGAGTTCTGTTTTAAAGAACTAAAATAAACTCACTAAGAAAGTGCCACATAGTAGCTTGGTACCATGGTCTGCACCTGTAGCCCCTGGTTCAAGCGGAGCCCTTGATCACTCAAGCCCAGGAGTTTGAGGCCAGTCCTAGGAAACACAGTGAGATGCAGTCTAAACAACAAACAGCCACATACTGTGACTTCACCCGGACTATGTACAGATTTAGTTTGAGGGCTTGAGCCAATTAACCCATCTCCTAGTACTTGTTTCGTAGAGTCCTGATTGATGGATATGAGAATCCTGAACAGAAAATTCATGGAGCCTGAAGGCAGATTAGTGGCTGCCTCGGCGGGGTAGGGGATGATGGGGAGTGACTGCTAATGAGTGTGGAGTTTCCTTCTGAAATGATGGAATTATTTTGAAATTGAGTAGTGATGACAGTGATGCAGCTTTGTGAATATCTACCACCCTGTACACTTTGAAAAGGTGAATGTCATGGTATGTGCACTGGAGCTCAGTTAAAAACACAGGGCATCTCCCTCCCTTTCCTATTGAGAATTCTTGTACAGGTTTCAGTAAGGACACTCAGGTCCTGTGGTTGCTGCCACATAGTCCTGAAGCTGCGATTTCCAATGCCACCCATAGACTTGGATTTCCTGGGGCCAAGGAACAAGCATACCAGTAAAGCCAAAGAAATTTGGGGCTGGCGGTAACCAACTATTGCTTCTGCACATCATTCCACACAGCCCTGGTAGAACCATGACCAGACTAAGGCCATCTGCCTGCCAAGTGTAGCCACTGTCCACACCCACTGCTTACTTTCAGGTGCCAGAGTCATGTACTAGGATGCTCCCTGACTTCCTTCCCCATTAAGTAGATGAGGACTGGCCAACATCTATCCATTTAGAAAATATTCATAAAGCACCCATGGACAGGCTGTATTTGAGGCTGGCTACAGGGTAAATACAAGACATGGCTCTTGACCTGGCAGAATCCATAGTCTCAGGAGTTTTAGCAAAAGAACTTTCAAGAACAGAGTAGATGCTGGGCGTGGTGGCTCACACCTGTAATCCCAGCACTCAGGAGGCAAAGGCAGGAGGATGGCTGCAAGTTCAAATTCAAGGCCAGGTCGCGCTACATACTGAGTTCAGGGCCAGCCTGAACTATAAAGTGAGATCCTGACTCAAAACAAAACAAAACAAAGCAAAAAAAGAGTAGACTCAGGGAAAACTGCTTCCTCTCCTTCCTCACCTCCCTGACTGTGGAAAGCATCACACTTTCTTTTTTATGCTGTGCATCATAACTGGGACCTTGACATGTTAAGCATGTGCTCTAACACTGAGCTACACCCCCAGAGGCCACTGCACTTTTGTGTGACATCTCTGGTTCTACATCAGTTGTGACCAAGCAGTGCTGCTGTGGTGGTCCCTGACCGTGCTTCACAAGGCTGTAAGTGAGCAGCTGCCATGATAATGGACACAGGGCTTCTCAGGTCACCTTGGGCAAACTAGGAAACGCAGCCAACCCAGGCCCCTGGCCCGGGGGCGTGTTGTGTGTGCGTTCTAGGAGTCTGAGATCAGAGGAAGTGGCCCTGAGCTCTCCTTTGCCTAATTCAGCTCTTTCCCCTGGGGGAGAAGGGATTAGATACCTCACAGCAGAATGGATCCCATAACGGGGGTGGAGCACACTGGAACAGCCATTACTTGGCTTATTGGAAAAAGAATAGTAGATTTGATGAAAGTACATGCAATATTAAATTTACTGAAGTTAAGGTTATGTAATGAACATCCTTTTTTTTTTTTTTTTTTTTTTTTTTTAATGTACCAGGGATCGAACTCAGGACCTTGTGCTTGTGAAGCAGACTCAGTGCAACTGAGTAAATCACTGGCATGAAAATTCCTTTTTAAAGAAAAGGTTAAACTAGGAGTAAAGGGCTAAGGTGTATGTAACTCATCCTCTTCCCCCTACTTCTCAACAGGACAAAGGATGGTTGGGCCTCCCCAGAGAACTCCCTTCAGCACCAGCAGACATGAGCGGCTAAAAGCATGCCAGGACGGGGACTTTTATAATCAGGAGGCCATTTCCACCTTTTTGCCCGTTAGGCCAGCACTCAGCCAGGGGCAGGCCTGATTTATGGAGACACGATCTCCATGACCCTTTCAGACTCCAGGGAACCCTGGCTTGGGTGTAGGAGCGTCTTGAAGGGTCTGCACTGAGGTAGATGGAGTGGACTGAAAGGCAAGACTTCAAAGGGAAGAGCCAGCCTGTGGGGGACAGACCTCAGCTGCCAGGATGGGAGAGGTTGGGAGGCTACTCTCCTGACCCTAGGCACCACAGGGGTGTGGCTCTTCCTACCAGGGTCCCGGTTATGGTCTTAAATGAGCCTCCCAATAGCCCAGGGTGGTGACAGGCAGGCCAGTGGGAGGAGGGGCAGGCAAGGTGACTTGGTATAGACAGGAGAAAACCAGAGAGGGCTGGCAGGCTGACTCACTGGGCCTCCTGCAGCTGAGTCTGAGCTGCAGCCTCTGGCAAGAGACCACAGCTCTGTATGTCTCAGGTTTCTCATCCACAAAATGGGCCTCACTCATAGGATGGGTATGAGGACTAAAAAGAGTAAAAGCACCGAGGCAGCACCTGGGCCACAGTGAGCACTGTGTAAGGTCATCAGAGTCGACCACAATAACCCACCCTCAGGGGCCAGGGCATAGGCCAAACTGCTCTGTGGGCGGATCCCCATCTCTCCATACACAACAGATGGGTAGTTGTTCTGAGGTCCCCAGAGGAATAAAATGTCACCCATGACCATATATTTCAACCACTGATGAACACAAGCATTAGATCAGCCACATTCCATTGCTGTAAGGAAAGGGTTTTTCAATGCTTTTCTTCAGGACCCATAATTTAGGGAGTCATGTATATTCCAGGTCTGGCACTGTGTACTCTGCTTATATTATTTATCTCCAACCATTTCCAGAAAGTAGTATAAGAATCCCCACTGACAAGCACAGAAGCCAGGGCCAGAGAGCTTGTGCCAAGGGCAACAGAGCCAGCCCATGACCCAGCCAGAACTGAAAATGTTTCTGCTCACTGCTCAGGCTGCCTCTTGCCATTCTCACAATCAGCTGTGTGCCGGGCCTCACGCTGAGTGCAGGAAGTGGCAGAGGTGGGCATTCGTGGAGGACAGAAGACATAATATACTAGGGGCTTAGAAAGAGGGGCAAAGGGCCTGTGCAGTAAGTCAGAGATGGCTTCCTGGAGGAGGGCCTTGACTTGAGGCTTACAGAAGGGAGACCCAGACCAGGCCTGGGGGTGTGTGGCACTTCAAGTCAGAAAGGAGGCACAGGTAGGTTCCAAGGACAGTGAAGCTGCTGAGGGAGAGGGGAAAGGCAGGAGAAAAGATGGGGTAGAAGAAGAGGCCAGGCAAGAGGGCTGAGGCTGAGGCATGAAGACTTCTCTGCCTGGGGCTCACGGTAGATCTACGGAGGTTCAGAAGAACCATGTGCTCACTGGAAGTGAGGTAGGATAGAAGAAATAAGGTAGGCAAAAAGGAGACAAGGAAAACCACACTTTTAATAAAAGTTACAGATTCAGAACACAAACCTAGTCCAAAAATTTTTTTTTCCTAAGGTCTTTAAAGACACAATCTATCTGGGCCTTTTCCTTTTCCCTGAAATGGACTTGGGCCATTCCTTTCTACTTACAAATGGGGTTTAGCTCAGCGACAGCTATCACCCTAAGATGGACCATCACC